CTCGTAAAAGCCACTGGTGCCGCTACGATCGAGCCCTGGAATTCCTGCCTATTTCGGCAAGAGTGGCCGCCGCCACCTCCCTCCCTCCACCGCCGCCGCGGCGCCACCTACCTCCCTGCCTCCCTCCCTCCGCCGCCGTCGCCGCCATCTTGGAGGCACCGTGCCGCCATCTTGGATGGGGAGATAACCCCTCGGAACCGGACGTGCCGCCATCTTTGAGTCGCATGCCTCCCGGAACCGGACGTGCCGCCATCTTGGGTGCGCACGCACAACCGGAAGAGACGCCATCTTAGATGCGCATGCCACATGAACCGGAAGTGTCGCCCTCTTGGATGCGCACGCATGACCCACAATGCCCTCTGCGCATGCGTATAGTACACGTGACCGGAAGTGACGTCATCAGAGGTCACGTGACCAAACCGACCAATCAGAGGCCAGGAGCGGTCCTAGAGTCCTGCACACAACTACTGATGTGAATGAGATAACATTGTCTGTGAATTACCAAGCAGGTCTTTGCCATCACTATTCTACAACTGATCAAATGTTCAACTTTCAAGCAATTACTAATTACATTTTATTTGAAGCAAATGCAAGTGATACCAGAAGTAGAATCTTACTGGTCTATAGGAAAGGGTTAGAAGCGACTTACTCGTAAAAGCCACTGGTGCCGCTACGATCGAGCCCTGGAATTCCTGCCCATTTCGGCAAGAGTGGCCGCCGCCACCTCCCTCCCTCCACCGCCGCCGCGGCGCCACCTACCTCCCTGCCTCCATCCTCCGCCGCCGCCGCCATCTTGGAGGCGCCGTGCCGCCATCTTGGATTGGGAGATAACCCCTCGGAACCGGACGTGGATCGCTTTGTGGAACGGGACCCAGTTTCCACCCTTGCCGAACTAGGCTGGTATTATTGAGTTACATTTTGCCTGAAATAAGGAGTCTGTGCATCTGACTGGTCTATAGGAAAGGGTAAGAAGCGACTTACTCGTAAAAGCCACTGGTGCCGCTACGATCGAGCCCTGGAATTCCTGCCTATTTCGGCAAGAGTGGCCGCCGCCACCTCCCTCCCTACACCGCCGCCGCGGCGCCACCTACCTCCCTGCCTCCATCCTCCGCCGCCGCCGCCGCCATCTTGGAGGCGCCGTGCCGCCATCTTGGATGGGGAGATAACCCCTCGGAACCGGACGTGGATCGCTTTGTGGAACGGGACCCCGTTTCCACCCTTGCCGAACTAGGCTGGTATTATTGAGTTACATTTTGCCTGGACTAAGGAGTCTATGCATCTGACTGGTCTATAGGAAAGGGTAAGAAGCGACTTACTCGTAGAAGCCACTGGTGCCGCTACGAACGAGCCCTGGAATTCCTGCCTATTTCGGCAAGAGTGGCCGCCGCCACCTCCTTCCCTCCACTGCCGCCGCGGCGCAACCTACCTCCCTGCCTCCCTCCTCCTCCGCCGCCGCCATCTTGGAGGCGCCGTGCCGCCATCTTGGATGGGGAGGTAAGAAGCGACTTACTCGTAAAAGCCACTGGTGCCGCTACGATCGAGCCCTGGAATTCCTGCCTATTTCGGCAAGAGTGGCCGCCGCCACCTCCCTCCCTCCACCGCCGCCGCGGCGCCACCTACCTCCCTGCCTCCCTCCTCCGCCGCCGCCGCCGCCATCTTGGAGGCGCCGTGCCGCCATCTTGGATGGGGAGATAACCCCTCGGAACCGGACGTGCCGCCAATTTTGAGGCGCACGCCTCCCGGAACCGGACGTGCCGCCATCTTGGATGCGCACGCATAACCGAGACAGGAAGTACCGCCATCTTGGATGGGGAGATAACCCCTCGGAACCGGACGTGCCGCAAATTTTGAGGCGCACGCCTCCCGGAACCGGAAGTGTCGCCCTCTTGGATGCGCACGCATGACCCACAATGCCCTCTGCGCATGCGCATAGTACACGTGACCGGAAGTGACGTCATCAGAGGTCACGTGACCAAACCGACCAATCAGAGGCCAGGAGCGGTCCTATAGTCCTGCACACAACTACTACTGGTCTGTGAATTACCAAGCAGGTCTTTGCCATCACTGTTCTACAACTGATCAAATGTTCAACTTTCAAGCAATTACTAATTACATTTTATTTGAAGCAAATGCAAGTGATACCAGAAGTAGAATCTGACTGGTCTATAAGAAAGGGTTAGAAGCGACTTACTCGTAAAAGCCACTGGTGCCGCTACGATCGAGCCCTGGAATTCCTGCCTATTTCGGCAAGAGTGGCCGCCGCCACCTCCCTCCCTCAACCGCCGCCGCGGCGCCACCTACCTCCCTGCCTCCATCCTCCGCCGCCGCCGCCATCTTGGAGGCGCCGTGCCGCCATCTTGGATGGGGAGATAACCCCTCGGAACCGGACGTGGATCGCTTTGTGGAACGGGACCCCGTTTCCACCCTTGCCGAACTAGGCTGGTATTATTGAGTTACATTTTGCCTGGACTGAGGAGTCTATGCATCTGACTGGTCTATAGGAAAGGGTAAGAAGCGACTTACCCGTAAAAGCCACTGGTGCCGCTACGATCGAGCCCTGGAATTCCTGCCTATTTCGGCAAGAGTGGCCGCCGCCACCTCCTCCCCTCCAACGCCGCCGCGGCGCCACCTACCTCCCTGCCTCCCTCCTCCGCCGCCGCCGCCGCCATCTTGGAGGCGCCGTGCCGCCATCTTGGATGGGGAGGTAAGAAGCGACTTACTCGTAAAAGCCACTGGTGCCGCTACGATCGAGCCCTGGAATTCCTGCCTATTTCGGCAAGAGTGGCCGCCGCCACCTCCCTCCCTACACCGCCGCCGCGACGCCACCTACCTCCCTGCCTCCCTCCTCCGCCGCCGCCGCCGCCATCTTGGAGGCGCCGTGCCGCCATCTTGGATGGGGAGATAACCCCTCGGAACCGGACGTGCCGCCAATTTTGAGGCGCACGCCTCCCGGAAACGGACGTGCCGCCATCTTGGATGCGCACGCATAACCGAAACAGGAAGTACCGCCATCTTGGATGCGCGCCCCACCGGAACCGGACGTGCTGCCATCTTGGGTACGCACGCACAACCGGAAGGGACGCCATCTTGGATGCGCATGACACCTGGATCGGAATTGTCGCCCTCTTGGATGCGCACGCATGACCCACAATGCCCTCTGCGCATGCGCATAGTACACGTGACCGGAAGTGACGTCATCAGAGGTCACGTGATCAAACCGACCAATCAGAGGCCAGGAGCGGTCCTGGAGTCCTGCACACAACTATTGATGTGAATGAGATAACATTGTCTGTGAATTACTAAGCAGGTCTTTGCCATCACTATTCTACAACTGATCAAATGTTCAACCTTCAAGCAATTATTCAGAAATATACATGTAAGTAAAGGGCAGATTATATCGTCTCTTTATAGGCATTTTAGAGGTTTTTGATACAGTTAACCACGATGTATTTAATATTTGATAACCTAGCCGACGAATCAGTGTAATGAAAGCTTACAACACGTGTTAGTACAGCAGATCGTCTGTCCAGCTAGTTTTCATACAGTGTTGGTACTCGCCAAGGCTGTTTCTTAAGTAATTAACTATTCATCATTCATATATCAAGCTGAACGACATTATGCAAAGAGTTTGTGGTTAGGGCATATGTTTGTCATCTTCCCGAGGCAAGGGAGTTAACTGAGTATAAAAGTCCAGGGCCCCGTTCCACAAAGCAATCTTAGTGCTACGACTATCGTAAGTCAGTGTTAAAGAATGGGAGTTACAATCACCTTAGCGCTAAGATCTCTTTGTGGAACGGGGCCCAGTTTCCATCCTTGCCGAACTAGGCTGGTATTATTGAGTTACATTTTGGCTGGACAAAGGTGTCTATGCATAGTCCAATCAAAATCGCGCAACGAAATCGAAATCCGGTTCGTAATCTGTCGTGCAGATTTCGGTCGATTGCAGGATTTGCAAAGCAAGCCTCTATAGTAAAGTGGGATTTGGCGTGGTTGTTTGACAGATATAATGGTCAGTAACCCCGACCGTTTAACTGGAATGTTAGATAATACGAGGGCTGGTCGAAACGTTCTAAGCTTTCAACTATTGGCCATAACAAAGTGAACTAGTCAATGTTGTACATTGTCTGAGTAGTTCATTGTAAGTGTATTTGATCTGTTGAGGCCGTTTGCATATTAGGGACAGCCAGTTGAATGTGATAGGGCTCCAAATGGACACAGAAATGGAAAAGAATGAGTACCCAGAAGTCACCAAGTGTTTGACTTTTAAAGAAAAGTTCTCCCCCAAGACATTCATGTCCGCATGTCACAAGTGATTCGGGATAAGGCCACTGTTAAACGTAGGGCAGCTATGTTTCAGGCTGGCACCATTCCACTTCTTGGGCACTACAGACATTCAAGTCTTCAAGATCAGTGAAGAAAGTTATGGCCACGTTATTCTGGGATGCAAAGAGTGTTAATTACCTTGGAAGTCAAAAGACGATCACCGGTGCCTACTATGCTGATCTGCATCATTGCCTAAGTGATTCTATCAAAGAATAGCGGCGAGGAATGCTGACTGCTGAGACAATATCTCTTCTCACACCTCGACTTGCAAAGGCTGTTGGGTGACAATTTGGGTTCAAAAAGCTTCCTCACTCTCCGTACTCGCCAGATCTAGCACCAAGTGAGTTCCACCTGTTTCCTAAACTAACAGAACACCTTCGTAGAAAGCGCTGTGACGACAACGATGACCCTAAAGCTGACGTGAGTGGGTATTTCAGAGTGGCTTCAGAAAACTTCGTCCTGACTTGAATTAAAAAGCTTCACTATCGATATGAGAAGTGTATTGAAAATCAGAGAGATTATGTTGAAATAGGAAATAAACTACACTTTCATAATTGTTGTTTTCTTTGTTAAGCTAAGAACTTTTTGACCAGCCCTTAATATATCCAGATTTCAAATAATATATATCTTTAACTGTTGATACTCCAAATACAGATCAGTAAAATATTGTCACTCACCCTGAGCATGCGTGGTGGTAAGGATGTTTGCCAGGAGGACGAACACACAAACAGTTGATACGGGCGACATGTTGTCATGCGTTGAGGCAACTGCGCCTTCTACACAAAACTGTACTTAATATACAACCTGAAAGCGAGTAGCTCAACTGAAAAGAGTTTTTAACACATTCAGTTCACAACATGTGCTATTGATATTCCTTACAGCAAGGTTTAGTTCAGATCTCAAGGTTTATGTCTGTGCGCTCCAGTGGACACAATGTTGGTTGGTTGGTGCATTGTTTAACGCGCACTCCGCGATATTCCAGCTATATGACGGCGGTCTGTAAATAATCGAGTCTGGACCAGACAATCCCATGATTGATATCATGAGCATCGATCCACGCAATTGGGATCGATGACATGCATCAACCAAGTGAGCGAGCCTGACCACCCGATCCCGTTAGTCGCCTTTTACGACAAGCATAGTCGCCTTTTTACGGCAAGCCTTGGTTGCTGAAGAACTATTCTACCCCGGAGCTTCGCGGGTCGGACACAATGTAAAACAGCTTTTGGATAAACATATTTCTTTAAAAACAGAAACTCCTAACCATGGACAAAATGGGAATACGGAGCAACCGTACGGAAATCTTAGCCCACTCGGCAAGCTGCTCTACTGTCGTTGTTGGGATAAGGATGCAGTACGGGGCGATACATCTTGTCCGGTGGATGGTCTAGTAGGTTTAAACCTTGCACGGTATAGGGCTACGCGAGCTCCTGAAAATTGTTGTTCTGCAGCAATGCATGCATTGTCCTGTTATAAGTGTAGTATTAGTTGAAAGATAAAGCTAGCTTGACAACACTGACGTCGCAGTTGACGATGTTGTTGCGTCAAATCAACACCTCTGACTCGCTGTCTGGCTTGGAGACTGGCCTCACGAAGGCGTTTACGCTATGTTCGGTCAGATACTCTTTGCAATCCTGGACTTCAGTTGTTATAGAGTTGTATGTTGGTATCGATACCTAAGTACATAGACGCGGCCCTCGGACACATTTAACACGCTTGATACTTACGAAATCGATTCTTCCGCTTCCAACTTAAAACGACGTTGTTCCGTCAGGGTTCTGTTATTCATGGCCCTGCAATTGAACCGTTGATAACAGACATGGGTTCGAATCCCGATTCGCCCCGACTATGTTTCAAGGTTTGTCAGGACCATACCCGTGACGGCGTTAAACCCAACTCACTGGCTCACTTACAAAATACGTTTAGGCAACCGAGAAAACACACACACACACACACACACACACACACACACACACACACACACACACACACACACACACATGTATTGCTCATACCCAAATTCGAAATGATGCATAAAATTTCAAAATATAGTATTAACTTATAATATCTATACCTCTATCCAAATACAAATTTGTAATTTATAATATACACAGGTGACTTTCATATGGCCTGAAAATAAAGTTGGCAGATGTCATTTGAATGACAGCATTCTGAATCTATCACAAATTTTTTGTACTTTGCAACTTATATAAGACTGTCACGCGGCCTCGGCGTGACAGCCCTAGGCGTTGCCTCTGAATGCAGGCTTTCAGCTCTATAGTTTCAGCTCTATGGCGTCCATTGAAAACAGCTATCTAAAGTTGCAAGAAAAGTGGGTGTTTTCGGGTTCAGAAAGCGATTGTTATACCTCGTAGCGTAACGAATCTCTACATGCCGCACATATTTGATGTAACTAATGTCATAGTCATAGTGTATCTGCATGCCCCCGCTATACTGTGGTGTACTCTATCTGTATCGTAATGCGTCCTCGCTATGCTATGCAGTTCCCTTGCATACTATGGCGTTCCCTAGCTATACCAGGACTATGGCGTACAATGTCATCAATGTACAATTTGGGGGTGAGAAGTGAGGCAAGAAGTAGGCATCCTCTCTGGCACCAATCGTGTTCCCTTTCTTTCTACTCTGTTTCCTTATGCATATGAATCGGAATGTAAGGGACACTTGAGCACAGTCGGTCACTTTCACAATTCAGTGTCTGCTCATAGTCATCCCCAGACAGAAGAGACAGGGGACCCTCGTCCCATGAGTACCCTCGTCCTAGTCTTTGGAGTCAGTTGTATGGTATACATTGCATGTCTGCTTCTACAATGTGATGATCACAAGAGTACATTTGCATTATTTAGTGAACATTGACTGCACCTAGTTTTCAAATTTTGTCTATTCCAATATATTTTGCCTATAATTCCAAGTTATACAAAATGAGAACACTGGCAGTCCATATTTTCCAATAGCCAGTTGGACCAATCAGATTTAAGATTACTAGTCCAGAATAAGGTTTATTATCTGTTGTCTAATGGACCAATCTGTTTGATTAACCCAGCTGATGAAAATACGAGAAATAATACTTCAACAAATACTTGGTTTCATTTAGAAATTAACTGTCTGTGCCATTGATTATGTTTTATTTGCTATGAAAACATGTGACTTATAAGCTGAAAATCAAGTACTTAACCTTTAATGTGTATTGTTATGAAAAAGTATCATACCCAATGGTAGAACAATAACATGGTTTGACACCAGAAATATTCATAAACATGCCAATTGTGCTTTATTTATCCATACCACACTCAAAACATGATAATTACGCTTTAGATTCAAAGATCATGATTACTCACAAATATTTAAAAACCTTAGCGAAAAGTTTCCTAAATTCCGAGTCTGGGCAATTACTGTACCAGTATGAATTGGAACATATTCACCAGTATGCACTAAATTCCGCATGTACAGTATCTAGAATCACGCTAGGCTATGTATATTTGAGAGCTTCAAGATGTTCTACAACATGTTTTGTTTCCTATTCCAGCATGTCCAGTGTTCATGGTGTATTCTGACGGTGACCAAAGATTTCCAGAATCAGTTCTTCAGATTGCCAGTGTGTAGGACTTGAAAATGTTTACAGGCCATGTTGTTTTTGTCGTAGGCAATATGTTGCTTGACCCCAAAATATTCAAGGAAATCTGAAGATATGTTACAGTTCGGGTTGTCCTTGGGGTGCAGTTATGCTTGGTGTCAGTGGTAATTCTTAAAATATGTAGATATGCTCAGGGGTGAGATTAGGATGTCGCTCCCCGCTCAAATTGTACTCTCGGCCAATTGCAAAAGATAAAATTTTGAGAACACAGAAGGTGTACGTATACAAAGGTAAAATATCAACTTTTACAATGCTTACATCAAGAGTTCAAAAGTTCAGTTGAAGATAAAACTTACATGCTTAAGTCTTATCTTCAGCTGAACATGCTAAGCAACAAACATTGCAATGATTTATTTTTCGTTTACATCATCATTATTTACAAATAACAGTAATAACTTTCACATGAATGTTACCTGATTTGTTACATCTAAAGTTAGCATTATGATCACAAAATATTTTTTATTTCTGCACAGACACTCATATACATGTTAACATTTTACATTGCCTAAATATGCATCATTTATTCATTTAGTTTGTCTCATCTCTCCTGGACGCAAAAATATGATTTTGTGAGGTGCCCCTAGAGCTCTATTTTGCAATATATTGGAAAAGGCTTAATGTAGATTTAACGGATATTTGCCGTTACATTCTATGGTGATTAACAGTTGAGCACGAAATTTTCTAACCCTTCAAAGTCCTTTTTTTCTTTCTTTTAACACAATAAATCGACAGTTTCTGTAATGCTGAGCGAGGTGACCTGTAGATCAACTGCCCTACGTCTTTAAACTTCAAACCTTACGTGTATTTAGTCCCGGTTAAACCTAAAGATAATCTTGTTCTACTTTGAAGGCACAGAATTTGTACCTCATAATTAATGCATAGAATATAGGACATTATATTATCACTGTCTGTATCAAACACAAAGCGTGCGATCACGACATGACGATTGAACAACATGTAATACTTCCTTAATAAACTCAAATAGCACAAAATATTACACATTGATAAAAGCACCGATCGAAGTTTCCCTTTTAAAGTTTCACTTAGACAGGATATTCAACTTGAAGGCGACAGAACGTTTGCTTGTGATCATGGTTCTACTTTTGTCCTGGTACAGTGAGTTACCGCATCATAGATAACGAATTCGACGGTATCACATCCGATAAATGTGCATAAAACGTGGCATTGACGTTTTAGGTACGGGTTAGATAGGGCTTTACCCTATGTGTGAGTGACAAGCACGGCTGCAAATGATATGGCACTCTATGAAGTGAGGTGAAGCGAAAAGGGGTTTAACGTCGCGTCCAAGATTCTTGCACTTATTGTGTGTGTTTGTGTGGCTGCTTGTACTAGTCCGGACTGATGCCGATGTATAGTGCCAGCTCACTAAGATACCATGCCCCAGTTTAACATGAATATCCCACTCAGACACAGTATACTGACCATGAGCCGACCAGTCCTTGTTTTAGCCCATTAATGCCGAGCGCCAGACAGGGTAACAACAAATACCAACTTTTAACGTCTTTTGGTATAACGTGGCCGGGGATCGAAATCCGGACCTTCCGCTCTCCGGGCGCACGCTCTACCACTAGACCACGGAGTCGGTCTGGCACTCCATGATGAATTGGCGGTTCACTCAAACAGTGTATTCATTGAGTGGTAATATGTTTTAACGCACCGACCCCCATGTGTTTCCTTATTGTAAATATCATAACAAAGAGTGAAAAATAAGTGTATTAAATGAAAAAATGCGATCAGTATACATGATTGAAGCTGGACAATCACAGAATGCAGTTGCCAGACACATAATAAGTTTAAATTGGTTAACCTCAACGTGTGATATCCCGACTGATGGAACGATATCGGCAAATTGGTGGGGTTAAGCTTAGGATGGATGGTGGAAGGGCAAGAAAGACTACTATCAGTAAGAATCAATATGTACGCACAGTTGCGTTGAGGAACAGATTCATTTCTGCATCAGAACTGAGGGGCAACTTCAAAACTGACACATTAGACTTTCGGCGTCAACGATATGAAACGGGTATATGAACTGCGGATCTGATACCAAGATGTCATTTCAGAGGAATACGTCTGACTATGACACACAGGCGCCTCAGTCAACAGTGGGCAGAGCAGGCAGTGGAGGTCGTCAACAGCGGC